AGGGTAATATGGCACTACAAGGTCATTAAGATAAGATGGGGCCTGATTATTTAAGACCTTGTATGTGAGGAGCAGGATTTTGAATTCAATTCTGGATTTAACAGGAATGTACTCTTGTTTTCACACATCACTATATATCAATAAAAATGTGGTTTGACAACCAATAGAAAGGGTAGGCAGAGACCACCCTCGTTAACTTCTGATGCATGACCAGTCCTTTTGTCCTAAAAGCAGGCCTGAAATATGACAGAAACTATTCAGTTCAGAAGAGAACATGAAATGCTTATTCCTAGAAGGCTTTAAAGGGGTAAATAGAGTACAAAAAAATAACCCTTATGGGGGAAATAAAAGGACTTCTGGTCCTATGAATGTCTATGGGGAAAACAGTCCTCAGCTTCGACCTCTGTAAGCCCTTTCCCAATGAGTTTATGGGCTCAGGCACTCATTACGGATCATAGTGAATAAAACGCCAAATCCATTTTGTGAATTTGGATTATTCTAACATTAAAAAAAACAGGATTACCCAGGATATGTTAGTATGGGCATGCAGTTTCAAGAGTCAGATCCACCCCACGGTTGGGGTATCTGGTTTCAAACCCTGAAAATGCTCATTTCATTAAAAAGAAAGCAGTAGGCGACTTCATGATGGCTACATCCATCTTTTGTGCTCACTACAATCCAGACACAGGGCTCCACCTCTACCAACTGGAGTCACTTAACTCGACTGCGCTGAAAAAAACAAAAAACAAATACAGGCCGCTGTTTGGTGCAGACCATTTAAATTTGGTCTAAACACTTTGATGCATAAAACTGGAGGAGTTTGCCTTTAAAGTTTAAAGTTAGCACTTAAAAATCGGTCTTTTCATTTTAAGTCCAGCGAGCTAAAGTAGTAAAAGACAACAAAAAAGCACCACTGTCCAAACACTAAATACAGACTACACCGAAGATGCCATATCATTATGATGTTTTCCAAAAAAAAAAAAAAGGAGGAGCTGGAGCTACAGTTCAGGAATGCACTAAAACGATAAGTCTGAATCCCAACTACATCTGGATCTGGGCTGCATCGGAGCGTCAGCACCTTTGAAGCACTCCTTGCAGTCCTCTGTTGTGGATGGTGGGGGCGGGGGGGCTACACATAATTAGAGGGCCTATCTGCAGGCAGGGCAGCGGTGGTACTGATACATATAGGGACAGAGTTCAAGCTGAGACACAGACATTTAGACAAAACACTCACCGGGAGGGAGGGGAGGGGTTGGTAATAAGAT